TACATAAAACTCTTTGTTGTTGTTTGTTTCTTTCGGAGTCAAACATTTTTGAAAATTCTTGTGTAAATCTTTTCCAGTTTGATTTTATTTCTAGAGGTAGTACTGAAAACCATTTTTGGGCTGCGCCATCTAAGGTTGTTTGTATTAACGCTGTGCGTCGATGTATCCAATTTTGATGTAGTGGCGTATTAATTGGTTCAGGTCCAATATTTAAAATCAGGTTTGCTGTTACTGCATTTAAATAATCTTCTACAGAGTATTCAGGGTCTGTTCCTGTGAAAACCATTAAAGGTTTGTTTGATGTTATTGATGATCCACCCATAAGGTATGGATTCATTGTCATTTGTAATGATTCTGCTGCATTTGGCATTTGAGAAAAATTTGAAAGTTGGTTTCTTGTTATTTCATGTTGTTGGAGATAATATGGGAGTGGTATTTCATTTTGCATTTGTGATGCTTGATACGAGTGTGCAGTCATTGGATTTTGTTGTTGAATTGGTTGAAAAGATTGTGTATTAATTGGATTTTGTTGTTGAATTGGTTGTTGATGTTGTGCATCTATTGGTTGTGGAGAAAAATTTCTATGATTTGTACGTGTTCTCTGTATTCCTTGTCTACGATATTCTTGAGTATTTTGTGCAAATATATCTGGTTGTAAGAAATCATCATCTGAGGATAAATAATCCATTTGATAAGATGTCTGTTTTTTATTTTTATTTTGTTGAAAAAATGGGTAATTTTCACTGTGATCCCGTGGAGGATTTGTTTGGAAATTTGTTGAATTAGGTTGGGCCATTGGGTTATCCCAATTTCGAGATCTTGTATATTGGTTAAAATTTCTTTGTGGTTGATTATATGTTTTTGATGGATGTGTATAATTATAATTATGGTCTGCAAAGTTGTTTCTAGTGAATGTTTTGCGTGTTTTTGATGGTATTGTCATGGGTCTGTATGTTTGGTAATCCATATGTGAATATTTAGGGGCAACCGAAGGTTTAACGGTTGATTGTAAGGTTACCTGTGTTTGTGAAGGATTTGTATTTCTTGGTGTTGTTAAATTTGGGCGTATTGGTGAAATACTTTGTTGTGTAGTTGTTGTGTGTACAATTTCTTCATTTATGAAGTGTGATGGTGTCTGGATATCTTGTTGAGTAAGATTCCTAGTTCCATTGAGGTTTTCATTGTGTATAACTGTAGAGTTTAAACTATTATTTTGTGTATCGGGTAAAAATGTATTATAGTTTAATGGTGTTGCATCAATTGTTAATGGTATTACTCTTACATAATCTCTTATGTAAGATATTGTACCTATTGCTTGACTTGAGATTGATTGTGGAAAGCTTATAAATGCGGGATGAGACCATTCGGGGTCCCAAACATAATCTGATTGTTCTGTGATAGCGGTATCATCGTTCGAATTTTGGGGTCTAAAATTTTTTCTTGCTTGTGCAATTAAATCAATATTGTGTGTGAAATAATCTATTATGAACCATGCCAAAATTTTTTGTAAATCGTGTTTGGTATGTTGTGAAACGTCGTCTTTCGTGAAATTTTCTTTAATGATGTTTAAATAACTAGAGAGTAGTGTGATTTCATGTCGTACTCTTAAATGTTTAGATGTTTCTGTCGGTGAGACATTTGTTAATGGGATTTCGTTTTCTAATATCGAAATATAACTATATATTATTGCGAAAACTTCATTGGTGAAAATGGAGTTTGCTCTTTGTGAGTTATGGTATTGGATGCTTTTTATATATTCTGAAAAAACTTTTGAAAATTCTAAATCAAGATCGTCTGTTTGAATAGTATATGTTCTATTATTATGGTTTGGGGAAGTGAATTCTATAGAGTAGATTCCATACTGTTGTGTTATGTTGCATATATCTTTTAGATAGTGATCTATGATTTGTCTTTTGATTTTAACATCGGGGAACTCTGTTTTACATGGACTGATTCCGGGTTCAAATAAATTTACGAGTAAATTTTGACAAAATATGTGTTGTCCTCTATCAGTATCTGCGTCTACTATAAAAGGAAAGATTTCATCATCATCTGGAGTTTCTTCACCTGGGGTGTGCGTTGAACTCATTTTTTCGTTCGATTACTGTTAATATGTAATTATTAATGTGTCGAATTGGTTGATTCCAATTGTATAAATGTACTGGTTTGTGTTTGTACTGCTTTTTTATTCTTCTTTTTCCTCTTTGTGATGAATTTGAAGTTGTTTCTGAGTCAGAGAAATATAATTGATCGTGAATTGGGCAATTTTTATCTATTGATTCTTTTAGTTTGTAAAGTTCGTCTAAACTGTTGGTTTCTGATTCTGAAAATGCGTTTCGATTTTTTGAAAATCTTTTTCGTGTTATTTGTCTTTGTTTCGTTATTATTTTTCTTTTTAGTGTTTGTCGTTTTGTTCGAATGTATCCAACTGTTTGTGTATGAGGTGTGATTACAAGGTCGTATTTTTTGTTATCTATTTCACAATTGTGTAAAACGATTGTTTGTTTATTTCCTAGGTTTTTAAATTACATAAGGTTTAGAATGACGGATGCAAAAGGTTGTTAAATGATTTCTATTTTCCTAAACTGTTAGTTCTTACGATTTTTTGGTTAGCTTAACCTGGGTCTATTTGTTTAGGGTTGGAGAGAAAAGTATATCGATTCCGAAGAATGATTTTTTACTTTCTCGTGGCTAGTATAAGTTAAGGTGTTAACTTACTTAATCTTACTTAGGGGTAGTGATTGTGTTCAAGGGTTGGAGAATAGTAAATCGATCCACAAGGTTCAGGTATAATTAGAACGCGAGTAGTTCGTTAGATACTATTTTAAACTTACTAAGTCTAAGATTTATCCTGGGTCTGGTAAGAGGGGGGGTCAAGTGAAGGATGAATAACCGAAGTTCTTCACTGTTTATCCTAATTTGAATGATTAGTTTTGTTTAAAAATTTCTATTAGTCTTAGGTCTTTAGAAAGGGTTGGGTAGTGAATCGACGTTTGAGGTCGTTAGACACTAATTAAGTGGGTGGGGGAGAACAAAGTTGTTCTGTTTGATCCAAGGATAAGCCTTGATGATCAAATTTGAAATTTAATTAAGTAGAAAATGATTTAAGATCCAAGGATAAGCCTTGATGATCTGGTTTTAAAATTAAGTGAATTTAAGTTTTAATAAAATTTTAAATGTGTGTAAAGGAAAGATTTAGTGTTTTGATGATATTAGTGGGTTTATGATTGCTGTTATGTTTTAGATGATGAAGCTGGAACAACAGGATGATTTATGATTACTAACCATTTATTGTCATGCTACTAATTTTTATTTTTTATTTTTCAATAAATATTTTTCAAACATGTTTTGTATAATACTGCAGAGTTTTAGGAAAACGATCTAAGATCTTTTTATTAATCGTTATTGTATATTAATAAATTTGTTTAGCGCCTGAAATGATTTTGAAGAGTAACTTCAAGGTTTTATGTTTGCAAATGGAAATCTAAATTCATTGCAAGTAGTATTCGAAATATAAAAGTTTGTTCTGGCTTTTGCCGAACTATCATATAACTATACGGCAAGTTTCTACTTTGTCGTATGTCGTCTTTGGTTCGAGGTCTTCTTCCAATTCCGGGTAGTTCTGTTATGGTTCGGAATATTGGCTCTGATCTATTGAGTCGTAGAGACATTTCGATTAAATTATTGTCGTATAACATTTTGTAAACGTTTTTGTCTAATTTCTAATCTATTTTGGTTAATTCTAATCTATTAAGGTCTTGTTCGAGACTTGTGGTCGCACCAGATGAGTTATGACCGAAGTGTAACTCATAGAGTAATTTCGGATAGGGTACACCGTCTGCTCGTCACGCTATCTTATTTTCGGCCGGATAGATTCGTGCAACTTCTTAGTCTAATACCGATCCTAATCTTACTCTTATACTATCTAGTCTCAGGTTGTTTAACTAGTCTCTGCTAGGCTCAATAGATCTAGGGTATACTGGTTTATTGCGGCTGCTGAAGTGCTCGGGAGAGTCCAACTAATTTCTAAGTTAAATTCAAATCTCTCTGGTGCTGAAATTACAAGTAACTTCAGCACTTACAAATAAGTGGGTTGTTAGTTAGATGGATCATGATTGGTTAATATTAAATACTTTACATTGGTAAAACATTTAATTTATCCAATCATAAAATGTAGTTTAGATCAGGTTCCAGTTCTTCGAGATGAACACTTCGTTTCCTAACAACCAATGAATACAAGCAGTAGCGGATTTAGGAGCGGGGGCTCTTTCTCAGCCATAAAACCGCTTTTTTTAAATCAAAATCTACCAAAAAAGCCTAAAAACGTCTTTTTTGGCTTTTTCTTTCAAAAAAAATCAAATTTTTCAAAATCGGGCTCGGGCAGTGTTTTGGAAAAGCTCAAAAATCAAAGCCCCCTCTATCGAGAAAACCCTAGATCCTTGCCTCAATATGAGAAATGTTGAATAGGAGTCAAATTTGATTAAGTTCCCGCACAAAAATAATCTCTTTTTAGAAAAAAAACCAGGTTGAAATTAACCTGAATAATAACTTCTTCCATGACAATGATTCGGTAGCAGTTCTCAGGGGCGGATCCAGAATTTTCTCGAGGAATGCGGATTTCAAACAAATGTTCAAAAATTTTGTCGACTTTTTTTAGGTCGACCAAATAGATTTTGCGAGCGCTTCCAGAACACTATAAAAAACTTTTTTAGACAAAATTTTTTGCACTGCAAGCAAATTTAAAAAAGGTCAAAAATGCCGTTTTTGGGCACTTTTTGGAAATTTTTGACGTTTTTTGGCGCGTGCACCCCTTCAAATATTAGTATTTAATTGCGCTTTAGAAAAGTATTAGGGTTGGTTTCATAAAAAGACCAAAGGACCCTCTGGTTGGTGAAGGTTTGAATAGCTGGGGGTGGGGGCAAAAAAAGCAAACCCACAACGCCCCTCCCCTAAATCCGCCATTGAGTTCATACTATAAGGTAAAGCATTAACGCACTAACCATGTTAGCTCTTTGATCTGCAGGGGGGTTTTCTTCCGTTAGTTTCTGTCCAAAGAGGTCAACCGCCTCTCTGACTTTTTCCTGGATGAACCTGCCCGACTGTTGGAGTGCCTTCATAGAACCCACAATCAGCACCACTCTCTCTTTCGTGACTGAAAAAGAAGAGGCTGATAATTAAAAAGTAAGCAATTTGTTTACTAGTTGTATATGGTGTAAAGAACTGTTCGTATGACAGTAACAAAACCCTCAATGATATATGCGTTTATGGACTTGATTGTGTTTCGGAATTAACCCACTGAAAATGATCAGATGTTTCATGTCGTGATTAGTCGTAAAGATAAAGGTAAAAATGAGCTAGAGGAAACCATATTTAAAGGCTTATTTTCACTTGATACCAAAGTTATCCACTAGATTAAACTTATTAAACTTATTTTACCAGTAATGCTTTCAATTTCTCCCTAAAAAAAAACAACTTTTCTGAAGATTATAAGCCAGTTTCTTGTCATAAAACAAAAACCTTTGATAAATCCCTTAAAAAATGAATGTTTTAGTGATTGGAAAACATCCACACTGTAAATGTAAATATGGAGAAACGCCTTTTCACAACACAAATTGATGTTCAAATAGTTGACCCTTGCAATTTATTCACCAATCTCATTCGCCCAAACCGAACCTAGTTCTAATTGTTCAGAAGCAAATAATTCCCGATTAGAGTGTGAGTCAATAGAAAAGAGCAAAGGCCAAGTAATTGCATATGACATTTACGAATGATTGAGGAGAACTAAAAATCCTTAATGAGTGACCTTGTATGATTTGGTACAGCGTGAAAATCACATGAACAATAATTCCGCCTCAGTTCCAGCAGAAAAATCCGAGATGATTCTATCGAGATGTTGACGTACACAAAAGAACAACTGAGAAACGAACGGCGATAGAAGCATAATGGTCACTTATGGACAAACCCAGTCACTTCGCCCAAAGGTTTTCAGTCGGCAGTTTTCTTGCTAGTCAATTTCAACCAAATTTTTCTTCATTTAGCTATTTAGTTAGGTCTTGATTCATTGACAAACGTTTTTGTTACAACCACGTCGCTTCTTTTCGTCTAATTTTAGGTTAAAAGTTTCTTTCAAAATTGTCTCAGTGACAAGAAAAATTGGTCTGCGCTTTTGGCGGAAGAATTCAGTGAAAAGAGCAGACTCTTCATTTCATCAATAACGATTTCTCACCTTTAATAATTGAAGAAGTTTATAATTATCATCTCTTGAAAAAAAGCAAAAACTTTCAAAAGAAAAATTGGAAAAAAAACTTTTCCTTTGAAATGTTTTGGTATTTTGATTGGTTATTGATATGATAACTAAGGTCGGAATAGATCTTTGTTACAAAACCATGAGTAAATTATTATTGTGACCAAAACAATAGTGACCAAGTGACCGGGTTTTTTCTTGCGTTTGAGATATGGAAGTTACAATGTTTCGATAAGGTGTTCAGGTTTTAATCATGGAGGTGGTTGAAAACGCGAACATGGTATAGAGAGGAAAAATGCTGATTAATTGATTAATTAATAAACGCTGATTAATGACCATTTATTACAGCTCAAATTCATTATTTGTTCACCTCAATCAGTCATTTCTAGTTTCACAGCGCTGGTTTCTCAAAAGCGCTTTTAGGCTAAAACCAAAACCCATTTTCAGTTATCTAGTTCTTTTTCAACAGCATAGCTTCATTAAAAATCCCTCAATACAAAACTGAAAACTAAGTTGTTCTTTCAAAAATCTTTTCAATTACAAACGGTATGCAATGCGTATTTGCCACAATTAGGCACTTGACGACCATCCCCTTATCGAAATCTGCAGTTCGAGAGTCTATTCAATTCGCTCACAAAAAATACTTCAGAACGTGCCAAGTAGCAACACGTTTTGCAATACGTTAAGCAACTAAACAGTAGCATTTGTTCAACGGCGATAGTTTTGCGTGAAAAACAATATTTTCAGACGTCGACATTTTTGATTCACAGTTTGTCCAAGTACTTACATGGATAGCATTCATTAGCTTTGGATAGCTTGATCACAGCGTGGAAGTTTTTCTGAGTTTCCACAATGGTGGACCCGCCTTTGCCGATGATGCACCCGGCAGCGTATGCTGGGATTGTCATTTTCAGCTGATATTTGTTGTCGTCGTTCGGGTCATGAAGATACGCGTTCAGTGCCAGGTCGCAGTCGCTAGGGGGTGCCGAACCAGAGTCGATATGCAGACCACTTTGCTGCTCGTCTGCAAAGAAAACTTCAAATCAAAAACTTCACTTTTCCTAAATGACTTTTCCTTTTTGCCCTTCGATTTTTATCGTTTTAGGGGTATAGTGTTGATATGCATTTTCAGCCAGCCATGAAAAAGTTTTGCATCAATCTATTTTTGCCATTGCTATTTCTAAAGTAACTTTTAAAGAACTGGCGCTTTAGCGATTAATTAATGTAGCTATAAATAGTTAAACAGATTGCGCAAACTATATTTATCTTTATCCTTTGTTACGAATTTTTTTTTTATGAAATCGGTCGGCCGAAATGTTTACAAAAATCAATTTTAAATATATACATTCGTCTTAGAGTAGAGAGGAGATCCAGAAATTAATAGAACGATGTCATCTCCGCTTTTTTTGAAGTAAACAAAACTTGTTTGCATTTTCCCAGTACTAATAGGAAAACAAAGACAAACATCTTTTTCAGAAATATCGTTCTGTTTGTTTTTCGACCGAAAAAAAAAACGTTAAATTCAGAAGCAATATTTTTATCTAAAGAAAATTTTCGAAATTAAAAATTGAAATAGGCCCATGAGACGAAATGACCATTAAAACATGATCGGTGGAATTATTCATGGCCTTTTCAGTACATTTTTTTACGTCATATCGATCCAATATTGCAATAAAAAATAGCACTTTCTTTAAAAATTAAGATGTAATTTTCATATTACAGTGCAATATTTTCAAAAGCTCAGTTGAGCGCGTATGGGATATAAATTGAAATGATTTGTTAATTTTTGATTAGGTTGTAAATAATTAAAGCGCAGCTGATAGCACACTGCGATAGTAATTTTTTGTAGTTTTTCAGTCGCCTTTCTTATTCCCTGTGCTTTGTTTGTCCCGTATGACATCAGGTAACTGTTTACGGGCGAGGAAGAAAAACAAAACAATTTTAGATTTGCTTCGAGAGGCCTTTCAAATGCACAAAATTTACGACTTGTTTGAAAGAAAGATGGCAAAACAACAAATGATTTAAAACATCTTAAACAAAAGGGAATTTATGCTTTGCCGCTCCGTTGAATTACAGGTGATCATCTTGGTTGAGAACTAAGTGAAAATGAATGATGAAAAAAAAATTGTAAGCGCCTAGATGTCGAGTATTTTGTGCAAAAAGGAAAGCACAATTTGTAACGACAGGGTACCATTTCCTCGTCAAGCAATAGTAATTACAGGGGCTATATGGTCAGTGATGTGAACTGGCAAAATCATCTGGAAACATTGCAGTAGTTGTATATGAAACTGTAAGAAAACAAACTATTTGGATATGTTGTCCCGGAAGAACTACTTTTAATTGTATAAAATCATACGCCAGATTCTCCAACAAACGCGGAAAACGGGGCTTGACAAAATCGCAAAAAAAGCAGAAAATGAATTTAGGGCAAGTTTTGCTGCACAATTCGTGCATATACCGAATAATTATTAGTTTTTCAATGTTTTAAGACCGCTATCTTTTCAGAAGTAAAATTTTTCCAATACAGTTTACATCTGACAATTTTTGAAAATTAACTTTTTGATTATTATGCATTCAGTCTATTTGAGTTTCAATGGCCTGGATTGCAAATTTTTGTGAGATATTTGATTCTCAATTGATACTGAATTCTGATTGGCTCATAAGAAATCCAAAATGAAAAACCCATCGCGGTGAACCATGATTCACGTTAAAAAAACTGAAAATATAGAATCAGAGGGAAAAATGGCGAAGTCGCAGAATAAACAAGCTTTTTCATCTTTTGAATGAAGAAAAACGCGCAATTGCATACAAAATTAGAATGCTGTAAGCTTTTCTGGCATAAATAGAAGTCAAAACAGCGACTCTGAAAACTTGTTCACCTCAAATCATGGATTAACCAAAAAAAAAAGAACGCAGGAATAACATATGAGAAATTTTTAGATTTTTCCCTAAAACTTTTCTCGACACTCATTTAAAAAAGTTTGGTCGGCCAGTTGATTGCAAGTTATTCACACTTCAAACTTCAACCAGCTGCTCGCATTCTCTTATAGTTTTTTTTTCACTGGGGGAGATAGCTCAACTTTTCATTACAGGGAGGGGGAGAGAGATTGCTGAATTTCGCCAATTATTTTGCAGATTTTTTCCCCGTTTTGAACGTTGATGATCGGTTATATAAGGATTTTAGTATCAATCGTTCTAAAGTTGAGAAAAAATCTGTTGTAGTCAATTGTAAATCGATGATATTTTTTCTTTTTTTTTAGAACAAACTATATTCATTTATAGAACATTTTAATCGATAAAAATTGTTCATTTTTTCTATTTGATACAACTTTTTCTATTTTATTCCGGTCAAAATAAGAGCAGATAGTTTTGTTTCGATGATTTTTGTATCTTGACTATTTTTAGCGCAGGAATAGTTCAAACAATATGTAATTTTGTCAAGGAATTTTTGTTTCCTGGAAAATTTTTGTGTTCAGATGAACCAAAAAATGAAAAGCAACCTATTTTCAGAATTTTCGTTCAAAACTGAATCATTATATTCCATTATAAGATATTTTTTATAGTAAAAGCATTTTAGAAAAAAAAAATAAAATGATCGATTTTACATTTTTAAATAAAAACTATAATTAACTCTTTTTGATCGTAAGAAGTTATAATTCCTTGAAAAATGTCACTATAACAATTGGTTACAAATTTTCTAATTAATTAAAATTTTGGTTTCAAATTCAATCATAGTCACAACAAAATCTTGAAAACAATCAGTTATAACCGATTGCTTAGCTCAAAAATGAACGTTGGTTGGAAAACTTTTATTAAAAGTTATTTTTTGAACATAAAAAGTTACCCACAGTTTAAATAATTTTGAATACCTTAATGAATTGCTGAGAAAAAGTTTGAAATTTTCAAAACTGATTTTAAAGCAATTGATATAACTTTTAAAGTTTGATCTGCGTATCAGAGCTCTTTTATCAACAGCAAGTTGTTATAATGAGGGCATCCAATGCAGATATAAACAAGTTTTTCGAATCAAAAAAGTTCCATATACATTGTTGAACTTAATTCAAAAATTTTTAGTTAAATAGTTTCTGATGAGATTTTGAATTATTCAAGTTTTGAAGCTTGGTTTTAAAGAAAATTATTAAAGGCCATGGCTATAAAGACTTATTTTTAAAAACTCATCTAAGGAACGATTCTCAATTGTTTTTTTTCGGATTGCGTACAAAATTATTTAGAAAATCTGAAAATTGATTTGTTCTGATGATGTTTCATTGTTAGAGTAAATTGAATAGCTCAACGCAAAAAACAACAATCTCTGCCATTTTGTGAGCTTCATTGGATCTTTTTCTTTGGAAAAATTGGGCAACAAAAAGCGATATACTTTTGAAGTCAGTTTGAAGAAAAACAATTTCATGTTCATGAAGGTTAACTCAAATCAAACTGCCTTTTAAGGTCTATGAAGCAGTCTTAACATGAAAGGTTTAAATGTAAGAAAAAAACTGAACGTTTTCTGAGAAAATTTGAGATTTTTTGTGTAAACATCCCCCGCTCGTCATATCAAGTACAAAGTTATAAATTTTGCTGCTATTAACAAAAGATTTATGGCATATAAACTTCCTTGAACCAATTTGAAACGATTTATAAGACGGATTAAATCTCGCTTAATAGCGCGAAATATATATCGCGCATTAATTGTCCCAAATTGGCCAAAACGGAAATCATTAAACCCCCATAACTTTAACGAAAAATGATCACAGGTGAAATAACTTTTCAAATTTAAGCTCAAGACAACAATAGTTTTCGAATGATATAAAAAAATTAGTTATTACAGTATTATATACAGTATTAGTATAGAGTCATACATTTCTCAAAGATTCAGATCTTTTGAAAAACTCAATAAGGGTGTGCGTTCGGTTAAGCTGTTAATGAGCTTACTCCTATCAAGAGAACTTGCTCGTATCATCATTTGGCTGAACAAACTTGCTCGTATCAGAGCGAAGCTTTGAATTATCCGTCTGCCTTTTAACGCCCGGAGGAACAATTTTACGATCACAGAAACTGATAAAAAACTTTTTGTCATTTTATCTCTCTCATGCTATGTAACAAGGCTTGTGAGTGCTAATTTTAGACGCTACTTTTTTAATCAAGCGCGCTCCGGAAAGTTTATATCTTTTTCATTTGAAAATTTGCTGAACTTTAAGTATTGCTTGCGTTATTTGGACCAAGTAGCTTGCATCGATTCAAATTGGAATTATTTCCTAATTCGGCTTTAATTCTCAAAGACGAAGTTTCAGACTAAAAATAAATAGCATGAGTTGTGTCGCTACTTACGCTTTTGTAGGGCAAAATAAATCGAATGTTAGCTTGAATTATAATGGTTAAATAATCCCAAACTTGATCCCCTATTACTTTCAATCAAATGGTTGCAGATGAAATTTCTTTTTGATTTCAAAGTTTTGACCTAAATACCTTCCGCATGATTTTAAAAAGTCAGCCACATTTTCTGAAAACCAACCCGATCCCAAATAGCCCATCACTTTGATCGAAAGTCGTAACAATAAATTGATATCAAGCGTGTATCAGTTTACGTATCGTGTTTCAGCTAAGTTCCAGCACTCAACTTTTCAAACTCCAGCCGTAATAAGTTTACTCAATTGTTTTTGCAAATGAAATAATTTTTAAAAAAATTTATTTTGATTTTGTTTAAAAAATCCGCTAAAACTAATTTTTATCACCACAATTGGTCTGGAGAAAAAAAAACAAATGCCACTAACTTCATAAAAGTTTACATCACGGAGACGTACGTATTTTAGAAATTAAATTTTGATTTCTAATATTAGTCATTTTGCTTTGCCCAAACCCTCTTCGAGAGTTTTGAGGCATGAAAAAACTCAGAAATTTGCCCTGATGAGTGCCGTCTTGTTGAGGTGTTAGCGGTGGTGAATCATTGTGAGCTCATACCATGCTTAACTATATATTTTTTACCATGTTCGCTTTCCAAATGGTCACAAAACTATCACAACACAACACAACACAACACAACACAAGGTAACTTCAAAGCTCTATTCGCAAATAATCTATCATCATCGTGTTAAATGACACCATCGTAAACCATTTTCAAGCATCAGTCGGTGGTACCGCAAAAAACAACAAAGATTACTATTTAAAAACAACTTATCAAAAGAGTACATGCATCAAAAGCCACGTTTTGTACTATATTTACGTCTATCACTTGTCTGAAACTTCGTCTTTGAAGTTGTTAGTTTTATCGATGTATTGTTTTTATCAAAAAAAAAAGTTAAAAAAACAAATGCCGAGTTTGTTAATTTTGTAATGTTAAATGTGATACCACTTAGATCACTAAAGATCAACACCATTACATGTTGGAAGCTACATGAAAACGATACAGGAAAAACGACAAAAAATAGTTTAAAATAACACGCGAAAAGTAGTTGGTTCGCACTAAATGAGTCTATAATGAGTTATTGACTGATGAAGTTAAATCAGAGAAAGAGGGAACACGCTTATCGACCATGCAACAAGTTCTACGGTCGAATAAAGAGCGACTGAAGTAATGATAAGCACGTGTTTAATATCCAGCGTTTGTCAAGATGGACTTTAATGGATTTCCCATTGTTCAAAGGGGCGAAAGGGTCACTTCAAAAGGAGATGCTCTCATAGCCCGGGAGACAAAGAGGAGATAGGAATCGATTTTTGGTCAAATTTGAACTGACCAACAAAACTATCTCGACTCTTATAAGTTGATATTGGCGCTGTTTATGAATTAATGGATTAGTATCCGGTCACCGCCCAAAAATTACTCATACTTTGCGAAAGAAAATTTACATATAAAATATCACCGAGTATGTCATTTGGAGAAGATAGTAAAACAAATAGCAGCAAAATATGTGTAAATAAATTTTTAGTGGACTCATATAGAAGAAAATATTATCAAATTAGGGAACCAATATGAACTCTGTTGAGGAAATTCAGAAGAATTCTGCAGAAATTTCAAGAATAAAAAACTGCATTTGCTATAAAAAAAAGCTAGGCTATTGCTCGAGCCACTCAAAAACTCTTTGTTTAGAGAAACTGATTGAAAAAATGTGATTGCGCCAATTCTACTTTTTTCCTTTCTCATTTGCCTAAAAAACATAATTGAAAAAATAGCCAAATTGTGTGTCTTGGTGAATAGTTGTTACCTATCAGTACAGGGTCATATGCAGGATACTGCGTTGCTATTTCTAACACCGTAAGCTCGGCACTCACCCTCCATGTTGTGTCGTTTTGGACTGTTCTGGTCCAGGTGGTCCTCGTGGGCGGAGATTGCGGCTGCAGCCAACGGGTGGTGTTGGTGCGGCTGGTCCAAAACTCCTCCTCCAACCCCCGGAGACTCGCGAAGGGGTCTCTTCCTGCTGTTGTTCACACCTGCTACTCCTGCTCCGCCTCCTGCTGAAAACACTGCGTTGATACTGTTATTACCACCCTGCTTCTGTTGGTGCTGCTGTTGTCCCGAGTGTAGCACTGAAGTTCCCGCGGAGCTATGACTATTGTTATTGTTATGAAGATGAAGTGGCGCAGCGGTGGCACTGAGAGACGACAGGGTTGATGCCGAAATATCCAGCTCTGATGATTGATGCTCAGGTGTCGCGACAACTTCCCGAGAGTCAACTAGGTTCCTCGGGTCAGCTAATTCGTTCACGTTTCTGTCTCCAGTCGGACAGTAAAAATCAGTCACTTCTGACTTTATAACCAAGTTATTGTAACTAGTAGCGAAATTTGGGGTATTCGAAATTTCGGGAATTTTGCGTGTTTTATCGACTACGCAGTCAGCTGTAGTCGATCTGGAATAAAAGCGAGCAATTCTTGGATCCGGTTTGGGTCGTTATTTTTGTTCACGGTGCCTCCGGCTATCTTTGCTGGAATGGTCGAGTTTGAAATGTTGCCGGGAGGTGTATTCGTTTCCCACGCGAGCTTGTTTTTGTTCAGAAGAATTTCGCTGTTTTAGTGCACAAAAGAATTGACCAGAAGAAATATTGCACAAATTCTTTCGTCTTTAAAATTATAGTTCAGATAAACTTTAACGCGACCCAATCGTGACTTCAGATTTTTACAGGGATGTTTGTTTGAAATTTTCGGGCAACTTTAAGTTAGGATTTTTGAAGTTATTGGAAAGTGGTGCAAATTCGAATATAACGCATAAGAATTGCAACTCATTTTAAATAATTAAATTCTAGCAAAAATGATTTTCTGATGCGCTGAAGGGTCAACGTTTGCTTGAACTTCCAGTTTTAACGAAATGAAGGTAAATTGCCAAGGGAAATTGAGTGTGAAATTCAGGCGATGAATTTTAAATGAAAATGATTTTTTTTGAGGATTATCCGGATTGAGAAAAGTGTTTATGTTGATAAAGAGATAAATATTTTTATCAGCAAAGTGTGCGTCGGAATTAAACGGATTAAATGATAAGAGGGGAAAGGATGCAAAAATTCAACAAATCCGCAACAAAACAAAAGGCATAAGACACTATTTCGATAGTATATATGCGATTTTAAATATAAAAGACACAATTATATACTTTTCTAGCTTATTTTTTATTGGCTAGATTGAACACCAAAGGTAGATAAAGTCGCAGATTTTTTGCTGGAGCGAATTGAAGATGAGTTAAGTGTAATAAGTAGTTGACAAATTTAACTCTACTCTGGCTCTTTTTTGAAAGAAAACTCTTACAAACGCGATGAATAATAAAATGAAATGCTGGCAATATTTTCGAAATGAAAGTATCTGTATCTTAACTCCGGATGTTTTTGTTTAGACACTTTTATTTTTTGTTTGTTCAAAATATAAACAAAATGGCCGATACTTTACATCGCCAACTTATTCAGTCCAAAACTCGTGAAAGATCGTAAACTAACTAAGACCATTATGGGCCATAAAATCGTAAACATCAGAATAATAAAGGCACTAAACACAAAAGGTCTACTTTACCAAGCATACTTTTCCGTTCTAGGAGTTTGTTTAGTTTTAGTCAGAGTTTGCGAACAAATATTTGAACAAAACCCACCACAAAACCAAACCACAGTAAGAATTGAGCGAAAGTGAATGAACTTCAAAGTCAAAACACCACGCAAAACTGATGCTCAAGTCAATGTTTTGCAAGAGCTCTCAGAACGTCGAATCTCGAAACATTCACAAAATGGTCGGATTTTGCTTCGAATGGATCTAGTATGTTAAATTACTGATACTTTGCCTAAGATAATCGGGTTTCATGTCTTGTTAATGGTTAGCAAGCAAGTTGAGGGCTAACCAAACTATACCACAAAGTAAACTATCTCATCCTGTTCAAAAAGGTCAAATCATCAAATTATGACTATGATACTTCAATAGGTAAAGAAATTTAACAAAGCAACATGAATCACCGTCGAATAATTGTGTTTTTTCCGTAGTTTCGAATATTTTGCGTAAATTTCGTATCCGACTAATTTTGTTTTTTATTCAAAAAATCTAATTGGAGTGTGTGGCAAAATTGTTTCATTCAAGTACCCAAATTTAGTTCTGGAGCTATAAAACAATTATTGAGCGGAGCTTAGCTTAAGGGTGCTTTGCGTTCGAGTTTTGAATTGAAACTGAGAATGTTTGCAGGGTTATGGTTGGAAGAGTGACCCAATAATAAGTATTATAACTTGTCTGGTAAGTACCTGTCTGCTTCGTTTTGGCAGAAGAAATTACTAAATAGTGCGATTAAGAAGTTTCATTTTCGCTTAATTCGGTTCCTTATTCAAACTTAGCAACCCCAATCGAACTACACTGAAGAAACTTCATGACTTAGAAATACAATTTGTGTAAGAAGGGAAAACATGTTATTAGGATATCGAACGCCTAGAATAACAATACATGCTGTGGAAAAGTGTGTTTTCAGTTTTGGTCTCTAAAAACAGGTACAGGCATTTCGCCAATTAAAGAAAGCCCGATTGTCAACAAACCCCAGCACTGCAAGTGGTAATACGAAAGAGAGCGCCATCTGAATACACAATTATGGCCTTAACCAGTTTCCGCTTTAGCTATGAGCTGAAATTATAAGTCCTTTTCTGATTGCCTCTACTGTTTTGTTGTTACCAGAAGTCTCATATGAAATTCAGACTAATAATGCGGAGTAAATGTGAAACACGTCACAAAATTCAGAAGAAAGCAGAAAAAACATCATTCTGGAAATGTTCTAAAAACAAGTTATGCACCAAAAACGACAAAAATGTAAAACAAACAAAATCTAATAAACCGATTTTAGTGTACAAATAAGGCGGAAGGGAAGAGCTTTTATCTTCAAACTATTGAACTTATTCCTTGACATTTTGGTTTCATTTACTATCGTAGTTGATGACATTTTTAATGCTATTTTAAAAGCTTAAGGCTGTTTTTTTAAAGTGTTTTTAATTGATTTTGTTGTCTTCTGTTGTTTGTGCTTTCGAGATAATTGACGGAATGTTGTTGCTTGGTTTGTTCCTTCAAATAATTTTCCTATTTTTAATAGCCATTTTTAACGGAGTTTTGTTCTATTCCATGTTAAAGATATCGCTGTCCTGAGCTCTAAATTGAATAAATACATATTTCGTCTGCCATCTTTTTTAAGTGAATAATAGGTGTTACAGTCTTAGTAAGTTTTTGCGTCGATTATATTTTTTTTGTCCAATTTTTTAAGAAATGCGGAATATTTATGCTTGAGATGGTTTTTGATTCACAGTCAAATTTGGGCGAGCGATTGAAATCATGGTTTTTGCCAAACATTTTTTATAGGCCATTGAAGCTATCGAATTCTCTAGTACTACTCAAAGTTTTACACTTCATGTTTGATTGTATACAAAATGGATGATTTTTTCATAGTTTTTCTGGGACAGTCAGAACATTCAGGGCTTCGTCCTGATATACGAGCAGTCTTGTTATTGCTCTATTTTCTCCCAATTCTTATCAATTATCTACTGCGGGCAATTTGTTATAGTAAAAAAGTCGGACCAAAAACTTGTATGCAGAACGATAAACAATTTGAGAAAATACAGTGATTTAAATTCAATCTAATCCAAAACCAAACAAGGCTGCTCGTATCAGGGCGAAGCTCTGAATGTTTCAAATGCTTTTTAAGCTTTTATGGAGCAGTAAAAAGATTAAAAAACTAAATGTAAAAAAAATAAAATGAAATTTTTTTTCTAAAATTTGAAATTTTTTATGAAAATCATCCCGCCAAACGCCATGTAAATTACAAAAGGATAGATTTCGCTCATTGTAACAAATCAATTATGGCAGATAAGCTTTCTTTCAACCAATTTGGAACGTTTTCTAAGACGGATTATACCTCGGCTTACGCGTTAATAGTGCGAAATATATCGCGCGTTAATTGTTCCAAATTGGCCAAAACGGCAATCTTTAAACCCCCATAACTTTACGAAAAATAATCACAGGTGAAATATCTTTTCAAATTTAAGCTCAAGACAACTATACCTTTTGAAAGATATAAAAAAATTCCGTCAAAAATGGCTAGTTACAAAGTCGAAAATTGTCCGAAGAAAAAAAAACCCACCCCGAGCACAAATATTCCGTTACTTTCGTATCGAAAGTCGGAACAAAAAATTTCCTTCAGCCTTTGAACATTTAAAGCTTCCTTGTCACACCGTTGCCAAATCATTTGAAGCCAACTTAGGTTTTCAACATTTATCTGTTTACGCTGCACGTCACAGATTTTATTTTTGAAATTACATCCAAGTTTCCGATTTTTTGTTTTGTTTTAGACAATTCTTTTCCAACCTGAACTGATATACTCAAAATTAAAGGCCCTTTTTTGAAAAGGAACTTGAATAGTGTTCATATCTAGTTGTAACGAAAAAATATATATGCATCCTCGATTTGAAAAGTATCTCGTATCTCAGTTTCTTCCTCTTTTTGCTTTTGTTGTCTGAAAAATGGGGATAGCGATTGCCAATGTATTGCTACCTTTTATGAAAGCATAAAATTGTTTTCTAATGTATTTGTGGAATAAGTTTTTCACTCGACGAAAATAATTGTTTTAGTTTTATTTTTCATGCGATAGTTTTTGTTTTTAATGCCACCATTGAAAAGGGGGATGAACTTTATATTCGGATGTATTTTAGTTTTTTTTCTTTTTGTTTTCCAAGCTAAATCAGGTACCACAAAAAAGGATCAGACTGGGTTCAGTAATATATCGTAACAAAACCTTTTATGTCGTGATTCGAACAACATTAAAAATTTCCTCAAAATTTTTTCTAGTGTCGAGAAAAAAATAACATTTTAAAATTTTTGACTTTTGTTCTAATTTCAATTTAACCTAATATGGTTAGTGTGCAGGCTTACAAAAGCATATTTCTGCTCAATTTAGGCCGTAGAAACTTAGTTTCACTTAATTAAATTAACTTTTGGAGTTTTTAGAGCAAACTTGGGAATCAAAAACTTCAAGGTTCAAAAATTTTCAGCAAAAAAATGAAACTTTTTTTGAAAAGTGTTTGAGTTTTTGATTTTTTTCGTTTTTCTAGTGTTTTTTCTATAAAAACTTTTCCGATTGGCTTATTTTTAATGACTGTCGAGTATGTCCTATTTTTTTTGTTCACATTTTTCTAACACAACACGTAAAAAAACGACACTAAAACGAAAAAACTTTTTTTTTGTTCGAATCAAGACTTAAACCTAAAATGTTTTAAAGCAAATACCTTCAACCCATTTGATGGATTTTGCAGGAGCGGATCCTGGCGATGGGGTGGACTTTTTTTCATTAGGGATTCGACCCACTCACCAACCAAATGGTCCCTTTTTTGGTATTTACTTATGACATCTATTTTGCGCCGACCAACTCAAAAAATGTTGTTAAGGCACCCTGTGCG